AAGCCTACTAGTAGGCGTAGTTAGTGCGTAGTTACTAGAAATACTTACTAGTAACTACGCATTAACTACCTCTACTTCTAGACTAGTTCTCCTACCGGTCCTCTAAGCCTACTAGCAGGTTAGGGTTAGTAGACAGGTAGTAATACTTAAAAATAAAAGGGTTATATTTTATTATATAGAAAGAAGTGCATTGTTAGCCTCTATATAGCTACCTAATTTTTACTGCTAGCCGACGCTAAATATATAACTAGTGTTACTTTCTACCTCTCTTTCTTTAAGGCTTTACACTTATATTTAGTGTTAGCTTAAAACTGCCTATTCTAATTTAGCGTTGGCTTAAAACTTTCTATTCTAATTTAGCGTTGGCTTAAAACTTCCTAATTAAGATTATCTCTATCTAACTATTTCTAGACACAAAACATTAAATAACTCTTTAAAATTAAGAGATATTATATTAAAACTTTTACAAAAGAGAGTACAGAGTAGGATACACGTAATAGTAGTAGTACAGTATTATAAATCTAAGTTCTAACTATAATATTATTGCTGTTAGACCTCTGTTTATATTTTGATTTTCGCTATGTCCTACCGAATTTCGGAGGTATCTACAACCTAAAGGGGTATAATATTTAGTAATTATTAACTATTAATAATAGAGAGTAAATATTTTATTATTCTACTAAACTAATAGAAGAACTAAAGTAGAATATTAATATAAATATAAATCTCTCTCTCTAAACTTTAAGTAAGCATAACTAGTGTATTCTATAGTTAGGAATAACCTATCTAGTACTAGTAATAATTTTAGTTATAGGTATAACTACTTAATTAAGATTTTACCTAACTAACTTAATTATTATGCTAAAACAGTAGATCTATTCTTTTACTTAGGCTAAACTACTTTTAATAATAAGTAAGTTAGCTATTAATAAGAGTTTTTAGTAGGCCTAAGCTTAAACTATAAGATATATACTAAATCTATAGTAAAATATTAACCTCTCTATACAGTACTAGATATATTACTTATTTATAACTTTTTATTAGTATAAATTTATTACTTAGTAATTTCTACTTACTAGGACTAGTTATAACTATATTTACCTATACTTAATATAAGTATTTATTATATATAATATATTTATAACCTAATTAAGTAGCTGTATTATTTTTCTTAGTAAACCTATTAAAGCTTAAGGAAAATTATAATTTTTATATTAAAT